GAATATTGAGATAGCTAATTTTTTTTCCAAAACCCTATTGAATAACATTATTTTTTTTTAAATTTGTTACCTATGTTGTTTTATTAATTATTTTTTTGATCTTTATAATATATTATTAAATTATTGGTTCATTGGCCATCGAGATTATTTGCAGATATAAAAATATATTTATACTTTTGCAGTTCATAAATAGAAGACAATAATAATTTATAATTATTGTTGTATTGCGTCTTTGAATCAAGTGAACACGCATAATAGATAAAAATGTTAATAATTTTTCAACAAGAATTTGCCTGCTTGACATAATCCGATTATCAATCTCGTATACACATCATGCATACAAAGCGAGGTATTAATGTGCAATTTAGTATCGCTTTTAAAACTCAACGATATTTATTTGGCACGACGTATATGTGTTTAATTAGCAGTAGATACAAGTACTATAATTATGAGTATAATTTAGTGCTGTGACACAATCATTTACCTACAATACGGATATTTGATGTTAATTAGTAATTAGTCAAAGTATTGGACATACAAACGAATTACATTTCACCTGGTATTTAGAATTTTGGCATATGAGCAATTAAGCAAAGCAAATCGCATAGTATGAAAAATTATTACAATTATTATTTTACGAAACTTGGGTTATTTCGTGTACAGTCTATAAGCCATGACGATTGACGATCAAAGAAATGCATTTTTACAACAATAATAAAATCAAATATTGGAAATCTGCACATTTTTAGAACTTGTATGTATTATATTATGTTATATAAGTCTAAAACTGAATAGTTGTTATAATGAGAGTTAGTTATGTACTTTGTATTGACATAAATTTTATTAAGGAACGTGGATGATTATTGAATTCTATTGAACACGATGAGTATAAAATGTTATGAAAATGAAAAAAAAAGTGTAAATTAATCAGTCTCAAACTTATCGACACGGGTATTAATGTGTAAGAAACAATGACCGTTTAATTCAGTTAAAAAATATAGTTATAATTATATTATTTTCTCCAATGCATGTAAAAATAATACATTTAATACACGTTCAGACATCTGTGCATGTAAACATTGGCAAAATTGGCTGGTATTTTTGTGTTTTTGTGTAATATAATAATGAAGTTCACACGCTTTTCTAATCTCTTTTTCTATAATTATAAATTTATCTATTTTCTAATTTAATTTTTTTTAATTTTTTAAGCATATTTTTAAATAATTATCATTAAGGAATATCCCGTAGCGATACTAATGTATATATTTCAAGTGATAATAATTTTTTTTCTGTAAATTTATAAGCAGCTGATATTTATGTAATTATTTTTGCATAAAAAACAAAATTTAAACTAGTAATTTCTTAATGATTAATTTTTATGTACACAAAGTTTTATAGTTTAAGATGTAATGGAAACTAATTATGATGATTTTAAAATAATGGTAATTAATATTAGCATTTTATAATAATTTTTAAAAATTAAAAATTATATAATTATACTATATTTATTTTGTTATTTTATATAAGATCATGATTTTATGAGATCTATATAAAAAATACCTACTTATTTAATAATTGGAAACTATTTGTTAAAATATAGATTTATATATAACAAAACTATTAGAAAAAGTATTTTGTTTAACAATTTTATTCTTAGTAGAAGAAGCGGTATTTCGTTTATCAAAAAATAAGTTTGTATCCTTACAGGTACCTAGTAAATAAAACATTTTCAATACACAAATATATATATATTGAACAAGTGTTTCATCAAAGGACAAAAATCGATTGACAAGTGAGAAAATGGTTGGTGAATCACCATATATATATATATATTATATTTTACTGTTATGCATTGTATCCATACATAATTTGCGACCGTATGCTGTTACTTTGTGTTATAGACAAAATTTACATATAGAGCACACGCGTCGAAGGATTGGTAAAAAGCCACGTTAACGCATGTTACCAAATTATACGTAACACGGTGCAGTCGTCGTACACGCCTTGTCGAACACGAGAAATGACCGCACTCGGTCATTGCCCACCCGTGCACCATGCTTTTTGCAATAGTTTTTTGGCGAGCACGGTGACTTTCACGGCAATGGGAATTTGAGTACATGCAAAAAGTTTAGGTAAACTTTTCACCCGAAATCTTCCTACTAAACCTCATCAGCGATCTGTGTTTACTCTCTCGGCTTTCGCTTCTCTTCGCGTGTCCTAAAACTCGTATTACAAACTTGATTTGCATAATTTCGCCTAGGTCCCCGCCATCGATGTATAGGTTTTGTGCGTGGCTTACTCGCCACGTCGTACCGCTCACTGTCGTCCCAATGATTAGGTTTTAATGGAGTCATTATATTGCGTTTATCTTCGGTTCGTGACTTTTGCAACTTCTACCACCACAGTAACAGATGTCGCCGGCGATAAATTCGAACGGTTACCGTTGCTCTGTGTATGTCTATGTCTATGTCGATTCATCTAAAACCGAACCTTCCTACGCCGTCTATTCTGTACACTAATAGCAATCAACCATGCGCTTTGTATTAGTTCAAAATTCCAGTCATTCTATTATAGATGAATCGGGTGCTTAGTGGAAGTTTATCTTCTGTGCTTAGTGCTAAGTCCCATCAAAAACCGTATGATTAAAAATCTTCAAATTTATTAGTAAGTATTGTTATGAACATTTTAAAATAAATAACTTATATTCGTAAAAGTAAGAAAAATAACTTCATTAAATTCAAACGAAAATTGAATTGTATAAAAATATCGGGACTTTTAATGACAGAACTATCGGGATAACGCAAAAATAATAAGATAAATTGTAAAAAGTATACTTAAATAGCAATATATGCATCACACGAGATATTTTTAATCAAGAAATGTGGTAAGAGATTATATGTCTTAAGTATACGTATAAATACTAGTATTGAAATTATGAGAATTATTCCCTGGCTAGAAAAAGTTGATAAAAAGTAAAAGAGTTTTATTTTAGAACAACGAATTAAACAATTTGTGAATTAAAAAAGTCTTTAGAACCCATCCCGGAAACTCGTTTTGTTGTATTTAAAGACCTCCGGGCGCGTTAAACCCGATGTTTTTAGGGTTACATCAATTCTACTGTACAATCCGTTGTATATAAATCATGATGAACAGTGGCCAAATGCTAATGACATTGTAATTGCGCGTCCGCATTACATATATACACACACTATTGTGTTTGTATGTGCGTATACATCTGTCTTTTTTCTTCATAAACGCTACCAACAATAATTTACTATAAACACAACCGTAATAATAACAATCATAATAATGATTTTACGAGTACGCGGCGTTTCTAAGGGTTTTGGACATTCCATAACATGTGGCTCTTCTGTAGCACCATTAGCGTGGATCAAGGGTCTATGATGGGACCGAAAATGTCATTATCATTAGAGTTCACGGTCGTTAGTATTTCCCATTAGATCTCCAAACTCGTGGGTCGGAACGTTTCGAGTTTTTGACCGCTCACACCCTCATATTGGTGAGTTAAAGATACTCCGTGCCGCCACTAAAGTCGACGTTATTTCCTGTACACGAATTGATTAAAAAGATCCGCTGATGAGTGTCATCGGAATTATCTCATAAAACAGAAGGTAAGTATACCGGAGTACCACAAAAATGTATTTATCTGCTGAATTGATTATGTAATTGAATGTAAGTATATAAGAACCCGATAGTTAATCGAAACCGTAATATCATATACGTTACTTTTTCATGAATGTTTACGGTGAGAAAACAAATTACCATTATGAATGTCAAATTAAAATCGTATTACGAGAATAATACGGCAAATGGTATATTATTTTGAATCCAAAGAAAAAATATATCACATTTTACAATACATGTTCGTCAAATTTGTATGAGTAGTTTAGACTAGCCACGTGAAAAATATGGTTATACTGAACAGTGAAATTACTGAATGACTTTTACGTTTTAAATTTATGTGAGAAATATTACATACAATATACATAATAAATAACAGTACTAATATATATTATATTGCATTTCACCTATTCAAGTAGTTTTGTATCATACTTTATTATTATATATATATATTATTTTCTCAGAACCACTAAAAAATATTATGACTACTGATTGATAATAATTAAAATTATACTTTAAAAACGAAGAAAAATGAGATATAACGTTATGCATATACTGTAATACAATATATTATTGTATATGTATATTATACATGTAAGAAAGATGTATTATGTACACCATTGTACGTGTGGTTTTTAAATGAATACGAATTATGGATCGAGAAAATAAAAAATAAATAATTTCATTATTAAAAACAAATTATTTTCTACATGCAATATTTTTGTGGAAATTTAAAATATCTTAAGCATGTAGCGTTAAGTATCAGTTATAAAAATTTCTATATATAATAATTATTAAAACAATACTTAAATCTAAAAAAAAATAATATAGTTAATATTGACAAGTATTTTAATTTATAGACTGGCAAATAAAGTAAATTACATTTTTAAATGGCTTTAATTAAAATAATCGGAATAAATTTTGAATAGAAAAGAATATAAAGAATATACCAATATTTTCCTATTTTTGATCTGAGTACTAATTAGATCAAAAATGTTACCAAAAACCACACTTATGTGGAAGATTGAAACAAATAATCTTATCTATAGTGTATAATTTAATATTTAATTACGTTATATAATATAACGTGATTCTATTAAAAAATATTTATTTTTTTTTTTATTTTAAATACTTTATACACAGATAAAGATAATGACAATAATTATCTAAATAAGTTAATATTTAATAACTTATTAGTGAACCATGAAATCCGACTTGATATTAGAAAGGTGAATAATTATTTCTAAAATAAGAATTATAATATATCTATTTCTATCACTTTAAATATAATAGTAAGTTTTAAATATTTGTTTCATTATTAAATAAAAATATTATTATGATTAATTTTTAATACTTACGGGAAAAATACATAGTGGCGTTCTTTATATCTTATGTTTCCGTAGTTGAATAAATTTGAGTAACTTTTTGACTAATGTATAGGTTTGGTTTGAAAATAAGACTGACGCCGATAGCCTAAATCAAAAGTAATGAAAGAGTAAATACAATGTCGACTAATTATCACTTTAAAACAACTACCAGTCATTATTACAAATAAACTGTCATTAAAATTGTATAATTACCAAAAAAATAATAAATACTAGGTATCAATTAGAACATCATATATTTATACAATTATATTACGTAAATACTTGTAACAATTGTTACATACTTTCAGTTTTAATTTTTCCAAAAACCCGTAATAAGTCAATGTAAAATCATTAAATAATTACTGTACACACTAATTTAAATATAAAAATATGACCAATAAGCAAATATGAGTTTCAACAGACTTTTTCCATTACCTAAAATCTTTGTTGTATAATAACATCTATAAAAAAACAATAGTAAACCTTTGATGTTAAAAAGCGTTATTATTGTTTTTTAACGCCAAATGAATTTGTGTTTTTTAAGTATCGAATGTATTTGTGATAGAATGTTTCTGGAACAATAAAACGAATTTTTTATGATCAATACATATCATATATTATGTATAAAGTATAAACACGATTTTAATAGGTAGGTATATATTTATTTTTTGCGCCAAAAAAAAAAAAATAATAATAAAATAAAAAACAAACAAACAATAAGTATTAATTGAATTGGAACAAAAAGAAAACATTAATTAATATTGCCGTACTAAAATCATTTATGTAATAAACGTGTTCATGTGCGTGTGTACGTCGTATCGTTTTTTTCACGGTCTGGCTCGGCGTTTTTTGATCCACGCAAAACTCGTTGAAACTATAAACGCATACTTAAAACTTTGGTGGTTTTTTTTCTTTCATTTTCGTCTGTCCCATCCGATTCAAGTATAATTGATGCGGTATAAAATTAACGACCGACGGAACAATGGAATTCTTGATTATCATATGTTCGTGTATAATAATAATAATAATAATAATAATGCATATCTGTCTTTCTCTCTTGTGAACACGTCATCGTAGGCACAACAAATAAAAATACATATTGCGTCCGACAAAATGCTACTGGCGAAATTTTTCTCAACTGTTATATAATCGTATTTTTCCGTTTTTTTTTTTTTTTTTAGTGTAAACCGCCAATAATAATAATAATAACAATAAATTGTATTCAGGATCGTCCCCTTAAAATGCGATGCCGGCCACTGTGGTAATTAAACAAAGCCGTCCAACAATAATATCCAGAGCGTATATTATTATAATAATATAGATATATACGCTTGCTTGTAGAAGAACGGTTTTTCGGGAGGTACAATGGATATACGTTGTTTGATGTTTATTATTATTTTTTTCATTTTTATCAACAACGCGGTATCAGGCGTCCAAACAACATCAAGGGGTAGTGTTTTCTTTTCATCTTTCGGTCGAAAGATACGCGTCTTACTGTATGGAAGTTTTGTTTTCGTATTTTCGTTTTTGATTATAATTCGCTTTTGTACGTACACCAAACGTCCGTCAGTCGATCGAGTGAGTAGAATAAAACGAAATGCGGTTCAGATCTACCTCATTAGGCTTTATACCCATACCTTTAAACTTATAACTGTATAGTGTCAAATTTATGATGTATTTTAAGACATCTGGTCGATTCGTCATTACTCATTTATATGTTCATTGCGCGAAAGTATTTGAATATTAACGAATTCCTCGATATTCGCTCTAATAAATTATTAAAATATGCTAATCTTTTATCACCCGTAGGTGTGAATATTGAAGATCATTGTTCGGCTTGTAAAATAATTGTATATGCGCTATTTTAAGCAGGTGCCAATCAACTTTTGAACAAATAAAATATAATTCTGCCCAAACCTGGTTTAAGGATCCTTAATCGATCGATTGGGTCCCAGAACACCATAAACTTTAGTGGCCTCCCTTTCAACTTTAACTTCAAAAAAATTGTACCACTACATTTAAAAAACTGTATATTATTGTATAACTTTGCACAATTTGTCAAAATATATATATAAGCCATAAGGCTATATAAATTAATAGTTATGTAATAATTTATTTACACATATTATTATTTTTATATATGTATAAAAACACTGTATTTGTTAAAAAGAATAATAATTTAAATTTTTTTTCTTTGCAAATGTTTTCTTTTACAAATTGTTCAATGATTTTATTGAAATCGATCAATTGCTAAAAATCATTTTCTGAACATATTATGATTTTAAATTTTCCTTAGTCTGGCTTTTTCTATATTTATTTTTTATTCTTATTAATTTTGAAAATGCTCTTTCAGCTGAACAATTATTTTAATTTTAAATGAGCACCTCATGCGAATAGATCAAGGATATGTAATATCAATTATCATTTGGTAATTTTTTGTAATATAAAATTAAGAACATTTTCGTTTTATAACTATTAATCATTTACTATACCCACTGAAATAATTTTTTTTTAACTTTTTTAAATGCATCAAAAATATAAATTTGATAAAAGATGAGTTTTAAAAATCAGTGGGCCCCAGAACAGTGCCCCCCACAGGCTTCTCCTTAGTCCGGGCTTGATTCTGCCAACAATATACTACTTGCATATTCAAGCTTGTTACTAAGGTTAAAAGAAAAAAATAATGTTTATCTAACCTAACCTTGCGTTTCACATCGATGTTATAATATAATATTTTACAATATTAATATTATTTTATTATAGGAGAGCAGGGATGACGTATGCATTCCTAACATTTACAATTGCTTTTAAGGTAACGCATGTGTGTTTTGCCTTCATAATACAAATCATTTTATTAATCTTCGACAGTTATTTTAATGACGATACCATTCGTATTCGAAGCGACCGTAAAATAAAAAAAAAACATGCACACGACACGAACAATAACGTCAAGTGTGGTAGCAAGTATTCACCTTTATCATAAATGTACCTAGGCCATCCGCCTTTTCGATGTTACGAATTACGACTGTTGTTTTAATGAAACAATTAATTGTAATTATACGGTTCTAGGTTGTTTCTCTTAACAATAAAACTACAGTCGTAAACGTCAAGCCAAAAACCCACGAGTGGATTTTGCGTATATTTCTGACGATACGTTTCTGTATTATTAAACTAACATTATATTATTTTAAGTACCGAAATATTACATACGTACTGCATGTCTTTAATATTACAATTACTATTATTATTTTTTTTCATCGACCGGATTTATTGTATTTAAAGTTTACGCTTAAATAATTAATCGATACAATAGGCCGTAAAAATGATTAACAACGTAATGGGTGCCTCGTTAAATGAATTTAAGCGCAAAGTTAAAATTAATTTATTTTCCATATCGTACAAATAAATTAGACCATTCGACTGAATACATCTTGATATTTTACTTTATATTATTATAATTCGTTGGTAGATACCAATTATTAATCAAATAGTTTTACATAAAAAAAAAAAAAAAAAATGTTTGCATTTTGCTGAACAATACACGTGCTTATTATATCATAACGTCGCCTATATTCGTATTTGTGTCTATGTATGTAATCATTTAGTCATATAGACTCCATATACGCATTATATATTATTTTGTTTTAATTCAACGTGCCGATATGCATATACAGATGCAGGTACGTTTATAATTTCCATTAAGGAAACACGATTCCACTCCCACGTTTAGTCATGTCCTTAGCGACATCATGACTTTTACTTCTCAAACCATATTTAAATATTATATATTTAATAAGCGAACGCGCGTAACTTGTGTACACAGAGTCTTATTGTGTCCCGGAGACGTTTTGTTGTCTTTAGTTTTTCGGTTCATGATTATTGTCATAGTTTATATTATAATTTACGGTTTGGAAGTATTATGTTTTTTTTTTTTTTTTTTTTTCATGCCTGAAGAAATATAGGTTTGGTACCCTCTCCTTGCTAACGACAATAGTCACACCGACGCGCCGTACCGTGTACAATCGGAGACTTTAATAGTCACTGCTCGATATGAGTGACATATTAAAAGCCAATTAGACAATCTTATCGAGATAATATAGGTAGTCGACAAACCAATTTAAATAACAATCTTTCAAATAAACTGCGATAAAGAAATTTATGTCCTTCAATTAAATATTTATTTTTTTCTCCTCCCCGTATTACGGTATCACAATAATAATTATTATGCTACGAAAAGAATATAGGAAACGATACAGGTAATAATTAACTATTCGTGCAAAGTCGATGAACTTATTGTGAGTTTAAAACACAACATTAGAAGGGCTTATAATATACTATACGCAATGTACAATTATATTAATATTTAATATGACGATATTTGAAATTGTCAAAAGTTTGGAATTTGTTCAGCGACTTTACTATTTTGTTACCTCACATTTAATATGGATTTATTCTAGTTTTCTGTCAGTTTAATTAATTTGGCACTCATCCAGCAGGTTAGCACAAATGCACAATTGACCACAAACATGCACATGATTTTGCGCTGTACAATTTACCATTTCCACAACAAATCGGCTCTCTGAATGTATGTAAATGAATGCAAATGGTCACACATTTCTATTTTATGCGTTTCGCACTCTTCCCTCCTCTATCGAAATTTAGTTCAGTTTCTTTTTATTTATTCTGTTTGTCTAAATAATTTATTAAGGGGATTTTGTAATTTATCACAAGACTGTTTGGTCGATTCCCACATAATGATCTGTATACGTAAATCCAAGTGTACTCAATTGCACAGGTTTTCGTTTTAAAATGTAATATGCAATTTTAAGTGGGTAAAAATACGATAAAAATATTGTTAAAGATACCTCAGATTGTATTTTATTATAATATATTATTAGCGCTTATTCTATGTGTCTCAAACATATTTTCAACTAAATCCCTCTAATATTATTATCATGAGAGTACAGGCAGCTATTTATAAACGATTAATCGTTATTAACGGCTTAATTATTAATTTTTTGTCGAATAACATCGAATGCCACCATCATATTTTATTACTGTAACGAACAGTAAGTCATTATCGTTTCAAATATTAAAATTCTTATT